GTCGTATACGAACTGGTACGCGCTGTTGGACTGGGGTTAGAGGAAGCATCGGTTCCGGCACTAGCCATCTGCTGGTTAGACTCGGTATTGAGGAATATTGGACTGGCCAATTCCCGATAAGCACTCTCGGCATCGCTGAACGGTGGTTGACTGCGACTGCGCCACGAAAACCGGTGAGGTAAGCTAGAACCGGACGCACCACTCACACTCGTCCCATCTAAGTTGGGAGTGAAGCGAGTACGAGAAGGGCCGTTTGATTCGATAACGGGATGAGGGACAAGATCCGAGCTCGTAAAACCGCCATGCGAATCTAAGGAAGAATAAGTCACTCGACCTTGTCGGCTGGTCTGAAAACAAGAAATGTAGAGTTTAATAATAAAAAAGCCTGATAGCGTATAGTGTGAAGTTCTGGATTCGTGACTAGATGCATCTACAAAACAGAACACGCACGCCACACTAGTGCATAGGCAAACTGCTTTCAAGTAAACAGTGATGTTTAAGCGTGTCAGTAAGATGTAACTCCATCATTACTGAGAGCGACAACATTCTCCTGCATGATAGGCTAATTTAACCTTGTCAATGAACTTAAATATTCTTATTTATAACAGTATTCGTTTTTGTTCAACACTTGGTCTTTTCATGACCATAGAAGAGAAACGTCACAAGATTTCTTCGTAACTTCAACTTCAAATAACTAATATTCTTATCGTGTTTTCAATGCATAGCTGCAAACGAGTCACTATTCAATCAGTTAATAGAATGTAAGCTCATGCGTTTGCGAAAATTATTCAACACACAGTCATCTCCTACAGCATTCGACAGGGGTCTTACCTCTAAATGAGACGATCGAAAACGGGAGTATCATCAATTGCATTACCTAATCACAGTTAATTCTTAGATATCACAAAAATCAGATGTAATTAATTGCAAAACTTAAGTAGTCTTAAAATAACCTGAACCTCATGGATATCGGTTTCTTGATCCATGTGGCATGTAAAGAACCAACAAACCTCAGCAATACTAAATCAAACGTTCGGTCACATTTAAACGCTAGTAAAAACGCCCCACAAATTGATGGGAAATTATTATCGTCGCAGTAACGTAATCTCCCAAGCCCGCGAAGATGAAATTATTAGTGGAAGGAAGGTGATCTAAAAACGCATCTTCGAATAGGGAGAGTACCATTGCCTCAAATGCATGTTTATTCAAACGCAAATGAATCTACATCGAGAGCTTGTTTTGCCGCGATTTCCAAGATGTTGGCCAAAACTTGAAAGCATTATGGTACCAGTTGTGGTGGACACGAAAATGGACTTGTACAGACCCGGATAATGAAAACAAAGTGGTAAAATAAGCGATGAAGTACCAGTCTTGAAAATCTTTGCTACCCCACACACTCCCACCTCGAACATACTGATAAGAGTCAAAGAGACCTTTTGCACTTCAACAATTTAATTTACAAATAAAACTTGTGCTGAAAGTAGAAAATGCTTATATGAGTTTATTTCCTTGCTGAAGCTACCCGATCGCTGGTCCAACGGCTGATCAGTAATCTAAAATTTAACGGAACCCCTAGCACATCTTTGTTCCTATCACAACACCTTCCAGTAGCGTTTATTCCTCTGTGTTTATGTTCTTTCTTATTGCATGCATTTGCTCTCCGGTTATGTTTATTGCCAGAATGAAAAGAGCGAGAGAGGGAGAGGGAAGGAAGGAAATGCGATGACGAGGCGCATCCAACATCTCGGATAGTTCTACAGTAGACTGGGACATAGACAGAAGCGCGAGCAGGCTAGTAGGCGAGTGTCACGTGCCAGTAACAAGATGACGATATTCGTAAGCGGGCAAAAGAATGAAGATGACTTGCCCGTAAACTAAGCAATCGTCCTGATGAGTGCCTAAATGGTTTCGAACGGACGAACCCCTCCAGAGGCATTTGCGGTGGTGGCCAAGTGATTAGGTCACCAACTTATGACGTGGGAGTCCCGGGTTTGAACCGCTTCACAAACCGCCCGTTTTCCCTGTATTCTGTATTTCCCCAGGCATCCTCTGTATGGCCGTGGCCCCCTTTCTGAAAGTTGACTGTACATTAGTATATTCAATAAATAAAAAAGGAAGCAAAGGGACATTTTTTAATTTGTTTACATGCAGGATTATCGTTCGGAAATGATTAATCCGAGTCCCTGTTGCAGCAGTTACAGTGAAGCAGGTTAGTTCCCAAGGAAAGATGGTTTAGTTTATTCAGATGGTACACATCACCCTAAGAAAGGACCACGCAAAAACGTTGGAACCATCCTTCGTTCTCGTAGACTATCTGGATCGCTTAGATGCACAAGTAAACCTGAAACATTTTGAGGACATATTACGGCAGGGCACCAGCATCGCATGATTGCAATCATCCAAAAACATGCAACAAAATCGCAAAAGTATTAGTGCATGCATCTTCGTGTAATCAAAATCAAGAAGAATCCAAATGGTACAAGCAATTGTGATTTTCAAAAACCGGTACAAAAGTATCTTTGTCTCAAAGTTCAATAGGGGAACAAATGCTCTTCGACGAAAAATGAACAAAAAGTCAAACAACAAAGCTCTGTGTTAACTTAAAGCTGAACGCCATTTTCTCTGTGATCTTGATCCTGGTTGAATCAAAATGCACTCGATGATTCCAGTCCAGAGTAACGAGACTAGGAGCCTACGAAGGAAAATAGAGATAAAAGGAACACGGAAAATCACGGGGGCAAACCACATACAATAGGTGAATAGTGAAAAAACTGTGACTAGTAAGTAGAGCGGGTTATTGCTCTCCGTACCAACTAGTGTTACTGCATATTATCATTTAGATGAGAAACAAAGGTAACGGGATAAGTTACCCAGTTGGAGCTCCCACATAGGAGATTTCAACAATACGATCTATTATGTGCTTGGGTTTATTAGTTTCAAAATAAAAAAATTTATTTGGTATTTGCTAATTAATGTTTAGTTACAGTCATTCAACCTGCCTTGTAGTCGACTCTTCAGGCCACATTCTATCGCTCCGCTATTTAGGTAACCAGAGACAGTCAAGTAAAAAGAGAAGAAACTTATTGGTGCTAGACAGCCTACGTCCGGTTCACTACCACGCTCAACCTTATGTTAAGTTAAGTTTTAGATTTTGGCTGCCGGTCTTCATTCACACCAAAAGTGAACAATACAACTCACACAAAACCTTCCAAATAAGTAAGCTACGACAATTTGGAGTGCAGCATGCAACCATCCGTTCTTTTGTTCATCAATGCCTTTTATCTGTCATACTTTATTGTTCGCCCATTATTTTCCCTGGACTACTCAAAAAGTATTTCGTCACTTTCTCGTAATTAACAGCCGTGTTTCCCTTATTCCCTTGAACACTAATCACAAATTGTGTGATTTTCATATTACTTAATCTGAGAATTTTGCCCATAAGATACTCAACGACTCCATTCATCCGTCCAATCCCGATTCGCTTGCCGTGTCCACGCTAAAACCCGAGCCAATTATCGCCGGTTACCGGCAGAAACATTTATCGCAATTCAACCGTTGCCCATCGGGTTAGCATTCCAACTGATAACATGAAGATCCGAAACGAACTCATTTTAAGCCTACTAAGGTGACCTGATCTGATCTGATCTGATCTGTTTAATCTATATCATTCCCGTATATGACATTTCACTTTTTATCCCATAGTACCGGTAAACACATTCGACCAACATTTGGCCATTGTTGCCTACACAAGTCATTATGATGCAATACAATAAGGCTCACAAATGATCACACTAATCTTCGGCAAACAAAATGCAGACGGATTTTGCTACTCACGGACGATGTGTTTAAGTTCCGGTTTTCAAATAAATAAAATACAAAAGATATCTCACTCAACCTTATCTTAAAAGTGGAGTAGACGGATTGGCATACGTCGTACCCTAACGGTGATCACTGTTCATTATTTCGGTATGTAAACCCCGGTGCTAATTGGAATCTCCAGATCAAGTTCAAATGTATTTCGCTCGGGATAGCTTATTGCAGTCAGCAACTATGAGCAGATGATCAGAAATGAATTGAAAAATGCGCCATACACATTAAACGTTGGGATTCTCAGGGATAAATACATCGAGATGATTACCGAGACTAAACGCGTCTACCTTAACCAAGAACCAAGAAAATAACGGTGGTAAGCAGCCCTACTGACACCCGACTCACTACCACACTCAAACTATTGAGGCCCGATATCGTTTACCACTCCAACTCTCAGGGTTGGGT